CCAGGCAATAGCTGATTTCTTGACCGAGCATCAGGAACCTCAAAGTGAGGTAATCAATATCCCAGGAAGTTTGGAGGTTACTAGCATTTGGATCCCACCAAGAAGTGATGTTTCGGGCAAAGAAGATTGGATCCAGCAAGAGATAAGAAGAGTAACGGGCCTATGGATTACTCCTTGGAAGCTATATTTCGATGGATCCCACACTCAGAAGGCTGCAGGAGCTGGGATTGTGATTATAAATCCTCAGGGGGTTTATCATTATTACTCATTCCTGCTCGATTACCAACAAAATACTAATAATCGGGCAGAGTATGAGGCATTGATTATTGGTCTGGAAATCCTGTTGGATTTGGGGGTAGCAGAGGTAGAAGTCTTTGGTGATTCAGAGTTGGTAGTAAACCAGCTAAATGGCGAGTTCAAGTGCAGACATATAACTATGGCGGGGTACTATATGGCAGCAACACAATTGTTGAGTTTCTGGGAATCCGAGATATCGGTCAATCATATTCCTAGGGGATCTAACTTAGCAGCCAATGAAATGGCGCAACTCGCCTCAGGAGTGCCAATACAGGAAAGAAAGTATGGAGTAAATGTCGAGATTCAAACAAGAAACCTTCCTTCCATCTTGGATCGGGGGTTTAGTTTGGATGTAATGGTTCTAGAAGCCAAGATGGAAGATTGGAGGGCACCCATCATTTATCACCTGAAGGATCCTTCTTCACCTACAAGTAAGAAGAATAGACAGCAAGCAACCAAATATGTCTTATGGGCGAAGAACCTTCTGAGAAAAACCCCGGATGGATTACTGTTAAAATGCTTAGGCTAGGAAGAATCCATGAGAGTAATTGCCGAAGTACATGAGGGAATATGTGGAGCACATCAAGCGGGGACAAAGATGAGATGGCTACTCAGAATGTACGGTTATTTCTGGCCCGACATGGAAAAAGACTGCAAGTCTTATGCCCGCGGTTGTGAAGAATGTCAGAAGCATGGACCTCTCCAACACGTGCCTTCAGTACCTTTGAATCCAGTGGTCAAGCCTTGGCCGTTCCGAGGATGGGCGATGGACTTCATCGGGCAAATTTATCCAGCTTCTAGTAAAGGGCATACTTTTATAATTATGGCGACGGATTACTTCACCAAGTGGGTGGAAGCATCAGCAGTAAAATCCGTAACTTCCACCGTAGTCAAGAATTTTATCGAGACCAAGGTCCTGCACAGATATGGGGTGCCCGAGACTATAGTGACGGACCGTGGGCCATCTTTCATTTCAAAAGAAGTCGAGGAGTTTGCAAGCAAGTATAAGATAAAGATGATCCAATCCAGTCTGTACTACCCTCAGTCAAATGCGCAGGCCGAAGCTAGCAACAAGATCCTGGTTAACATTATTAAAAGAATAGTGACAGATAGTCCAGAAAAGTGGCATGAGATGTTGGGGAACACGTTGTGGGCATACAGAACTTCCAAAAGAGCGGGGACCGGCACAACTCCTTATGCTTTGACGTTCGGGCAAGATGCAGTGCTCCCCATGGAGATCAACGTTGGTTCCGTAAGAATTCAAAACCAATTTGGGTTACATAGTACAGAATATATCGAAGCTATGTGTCAAGGTATTGAAGATCTGGATGCAGCCCGAATTGAAGCCTTGAACCAGATTCAGGAAGGAAAGATAGCTGTTGCCCGAGCTTATAACAAGAAGGTGAAGGTAAAGTCTTTCAAAGAGGGAGATTTAGTATGGAAAACAGTCCTCCCGCTGGGAGCTCAGCTTCGGGGTTTTGGAAAGTGGAGCCCTACATGGGAAGGTCCTTTCATTATCAGTCAAGTCTTGAATAAAGGAGGATACTACCTAGCGGACCTCGAAGGAAATAGGCAGAAACATCCCATTAATGTTAGATTCTTAAAGAAATATTGTCCTACATTATGGGATGTTAGGGATTGTTACATTGAAGAGGGGGCAGAGTGAAGCAAGCTTCGGGAATCCCATATGCAGTGTTTTTGTTCATCAAACATTCAAAGAGGGCAGAAAGACAGAAATTGCTAAAATAGTATTTATTTCATGTCGACAAATTGATGAAATTTACAGAGTTCCAATCCTATGTATTACATTTAATTCTCTCTGAGTATGGTGGTGTCTTCAACTGGTTTCCCGACGTCTTCATGGATGGAACCCAATCGGGTGATCGGGTTGTGCGGCCAACATGGGCCTGGTAGAGGATCCTCCAACGGGGCTGTCACCATATGTGATGGTGAAGTCCGATTTATCACCGCAACTTGCGGGAGGACAAACCATCAGGAGGAAGCCGCCTGACCAGGGGTGTTGGAGATAGAGGGGCGGTCGACCAAGGGTGTTGGAGATAGCAGTCATCAGTTAAAACCTCCTTTTCTCGCGAAAAGGGAGTTTTAGGAAACTCCACTCAAAACCTAAGGAACCCATTTCTCAGTTGCTAAGAGAAAACAAGAACGCTCAAGATGGATGGAAGTTGAAGGCCAGAACCAAAGGAAAGTTGGTGGTTTTGTAAGAGAAGTCCCGAGCTAGATTTTATAGAGCTCAAAGGACAGTTCAAGGGTCATGAAAAGAGCAAGGGGCACTGGAAGCACTAATTTCCAAGGACGGATATGCATGCATACGGGTATTCAATCAATGTCGACGCTTGAGATTCCAACCTTCACATTAATTGAAGCGGGCACTGTTTGGATTAAAACTTAATTTTTGGCCCAAAGATGGAGTCGGCCCAAAAGGAGGCCTGGAGGAATAGAAGATCAAAGCCCAGCCGAGACTTGGGAAGGCAGGAAATGGCCTTTTCTGACTTGATACAATTCACAAAGGCCACTTGCCTACCTACCCAAGGACCAAGTGGTATAGACTGATCAGACTGCACAGCCCATAAAGTACTTTATGGTGGCATTACATGTAATAAAGCTGATGAGTCATCACCCTCAGACCGCATTCGGGCAAAGCTGTTGCTACAGGAGCCAAACTGAGTAGTCTATAAAAGGAGGAAGAGAAGACAGGAATAAAGACACTCAATCAAACAAACAAAAGCACAAACTCTGCTCAAAAAGTCAGATTTGCCTTCAAACGAAGCTGTAGTCAGCCCAAGCTTTCATCCCCCTCGGGATAATCTTTTCTCCTAAACTTTGTAATAGCTCTGCTACCTTGTTCAAACTTGTTGTAGTATCGATTCACCCTTTTGTATTCTCCTTTCCCCTCTCCACCTAAGCTTTCAGACCTTTGACATAACCACAAAGATAGGGACCTGCAAGACGATCAGCCTTAATTGATAAGGTTTAATCTTGCCCGACCTGCTTTGTTCTGTCTTTGTCTTTTCTTTCTTTAAAGTCTAGCGATATGTTGTATGTTTTTAGTTATATACAAGTTGTCTCTAGTAAAATCACGATGACAAAGCTTTTGACACTTGGATCTGATTTAAATATATCTTCAATGCTTAAATTAGATCCAAGTCCTAAGCCCGCAGGCATGTAAATCTGATTAGTTTAAAAGTCCTTGGCCTCAAGGCATAAAAAAGAACTTTATGTGGACTTAACCCATCCACGACAATCCTTGATAAACGAGAAGTCCGAAGTTACTTGGGGCGCAAGTAATCGACCTACCTTCTAGTTTTCTTTCTATTATATCATGATTATCATAGAACGCTTAAGCATGGGATGGACTCTAATGGAAAGCCTTAAGGCCTACACTTAAGGCCCCACAAAGGCATCCATTTGGATTCATCCTATTCAGCGATCTTAAGAGTCTAAGCATAAGAATGAACTCTGATGGGAAGCCTCAAGGCCTACACCTAAGGCCCTACAAAGGCACCCATTTGGGTTCGTTCTATTCCTTGGATTCGGGTAATCAGAAATATAATAGTTAGAAGACTCCTACAATCACAAGAATACATATGATGCGTTCGAGTACTGGTTTAGTTATGTATGGGAAGCCTCAAGGCCTACATTTAAGGCCCCACAAAGGCACCTGTTATAACTAAACACGGTTTCTTGGATACATATATATATATATATATACAATGAAAGAACGACAAGCATTTTACATCTGCCATGCTAAAGATGGCAGTGGCATGCCTGAGCACCTAAATGTTAACCTTGATTGTGAGCCTCAAGGCCTATACCTAAGGCCCCACAAAGGCACCTCTCAAAGTTAACTCTGTCCTTCTCTTTCAGCCTTACCCGAAGAGCCTTGCCCGAAGAGTCTTGCCCGACGAGACTTGCCCGACAACGCCCAGAAACGAAGCAGAAGCCCGACAGCAGCCCTCAACCGGCGCCAACCTCCAGGGGAGCTGTGTGCTCGTCGGCCAGGAAACATCCCCAGCGGAAATTCCTGCCACGAACAGGAAGAATGTAGAATAAATGAATCTAGAGCTTTAGGATCAATGGATTCAAAGACATAGCACTTGGGAATTTCCTGTGGAGATGAACTTGCTTCAAACACATGAATTTCGACAGAAAGTAACCGGCTGGCGGAGGTGGTTTGGCTAGTCGGCCGTTACCTATTCCATTAGGAACCACATTTTTTGGTATCCATAGCGTTGCTTCTTTTTTGGCCAAATCCTAATTTCGTTTTGCTTCTCCCGGTCGTCGAGCCTGAGACTACTCTTTTTCCCTAACACCGACCTCTCACTTCGTTTCGTTCTTCTTCTGTATCGCCGCTTCAATGAAGACATCAGATCAGCCCGACTTTCCCAAATGCCCACCACCGGCCTCCAACTTTGAGTTTTCGATCTTTTTTCAACTTCAAATAGTTCGCTCAATTCGATGTCGATCTCCTCATCACTTCTCAATGTGGTTATAGCACTGTCATGTTCATGGGGCACGTTTTGCTTGCCAAATTGCAGCACTGCCATGTTTATGGGCACATTTTGCTTGCCAAATTGCAGCCGTTTGCAGCCGTGTATCCTTTCGATCTCTTTTCTCCTTAATTGGGTGTAACATAATACAACATGTAACAATTGACATTGCATATATAGAAAGAGAGAAGAATATGCAAAAGCCCGTTCAACGTTAAGAGGTTCTGATAAACGGAAAAGGATATAAATAGTATCTAACAAAAACTGATCACACGATATACGATGAACGGTCACGATCACAGGATCACTGGATCCTCGATGATCCTTTTCCCTGATAAACAATACAAAAGGATACTTACAAAAAGGTGTAGCACCTTAAACTACAACCATATGTTTTGAGTCATTCCAAATATAACAAAAATACATCTCAAGTAACACTAATATGTCATCTGATAGATACTACAGCAGACACGCAGCAAGAGCTTCAGAACAAACAAAAGCATTGCCAATAAGGCGCATTATGGCTTGGTCGAAACATTATTCCGTGGAGGATTTGATTAACGACTTCAGGGAGATATTTCCACGAACTTGAAAGAAGGCCTTCAGTTACTGTGAGCTACCTTTTCCATGCCTAATTCAAAAGCCCTCTTTACTATTCTCCTTTAGCTAATGCATAATAGCATTTTACACATCCATGACACTACTTTGGTGTTCGTACCACTCCTGCACTTCGATAGCTTGCTGTCATTCAAAATAAGTTTATGTTACTTCTTCATAGGACTAATAATCATAGTTAACTATAACCTTATTCAAGAACTTGGTGGGAAAAAAGTAATTAGCTTCATATTCGGGATTGAAACTCACTGTCATGCAAAACATCTCCCACTGTTGTTTTCATTGGTGGCTACAGTGTGTAGTCCTCTAGTTGAGGTAGATCAAAGAAAAATGGTAGATCAAAGAAAAATTCCATATCTTCTTCTGGTGGAGGACATACCTAGATTAAGAATCATGAACAAGAGCAAAGTTTAAATATATCCATAAGAAGTTCATATAAGAAAATGTTTAAAGAGACTCATTCTTACCTCTGAAATCCTTTTATTCGTAGCTTGATTTTCAAAATTAGAAATGGAGTTCTTAAATTGTTCATCATCATCACTGGTAGAAACATTATTCTTGGATATAACACATGTTGGTGACTCTTGGGCGACATGTAAACAGAGTGAATCCATGTCGTTTTGGGACTGAACACATAATTGGATTAAAAATCACAAACAAGCAGGTTAAGTTTTGATACACTTTTGTATTATTAAAGTTCATATAGAAATATTCAAATAAGCATTTTTATTCTCACCTGTTGAGACATATTATGTGGAGCTTCATTTTTTAAATCAGATACGGTGAAACTATGAGGTTCACCTTCATCACAGGTTGAAATATCATTCTTATTAATATAAGAATAATTATTATCTCCAAATGGTGATTGTATTGCATTACAATCATCATTGGTGCCATTGGCTTGCAGAACATCTTCCAGCTCTATGTATCCGGATGATAGGGGTGTAGAGGAACTGTTATCCTGTGACTGAAGAGAATCAAAGAGTGATGCATAAGTTTCGATAAATTTCTCGTGATCCATGAGATAAATGTTAAAAGACCAGACGATTCTCATTCTCACCCCTGGAGTCACAACAGCTGCAGCATGATCTTCAACATTAGACACACTACAGCTGCCAAGTTCAACTTCACCGATTGAGGTATCCTCCTCATCGGATTTTTTCTTCATGCGACAGATAACGAAATCCTTCAGCATAAGTTGGACAACAATATTATGAGCTATAGATCCAATCCAATTGCCACACTTCAAAACTATTACTAAATGTATGTTAAACACGGAAACATCAATCCAACACACAAATTTGATGTTGCATAATCCAAAGATAATAAACAAGGAACAAAATAGCAAACTCTGCAACTGGAAAAGAGAGTGACCTGAGGCAGTTTAGGATTGGCTTCACTATCAATGCGATCGTGCTCGTGCATGACCCAGTTGGTTTTTTTCGGTTTAGGCTCACAACGCCGGTAGAACGTCAAGGTCCTCTTCTTACCAATGACAGCTTTGGACCGCCGAGCCTTGATATCACGCTCCTTGCCTGTGATTTTCCAGTAGCCTCCTGGTGTGGTTCTGTTGGACCGCTTGCTGTTCTTGTACTTATAATTCTTTCGACCGAAGAAGTACCACTCCATATCGTCGGATGGCATGCGAGCTGAAAATTGCAACAATTCGAACCAAGAAATTGAGGCCAACCAAATTCAAGTCTTGAAAAACCAAGTACTAAAAACAGAGCAAATTTTTCCCCTTGGGAGCTCATACATAATTGTTAGCGAGAAAAAACCAAGTACACCAACAGCACCAAATAAAATCAAAACACGAAATTGATGCCAATCCAATTCAGTTCTTCAAAACCACATACCAAATACAAAACAATATACTATTTTTATGAATAATGATAAATAAACAGTGAGGAAAGAGTGGGAGAGACTGAATAATTACCAGCCAAATCCCCAGGGTCGAAGTTGCAGACATCGACTTCAGGGATGTTTTCAGCTTGGAAATCCTTGTCCTGTTTCTTGAGCTTCAAGTAATGGTCCACCAGTTCCTCCCCGGTGGGGTGGAATCTGAACCCTACCTGCCCTGAACCCCCTCCTCCTCTTGTTTTTCTCTTTCTTCCCGGTGTTTCCATGTGTTTCTTTTCTCTCAGCGTATGTGTGCGTGTGTGCGTGTGTGTTTGTGTGAAATGAGAAGAAGGTGCAGCTACAAGTATTTTATAAAGTCACTTCAGAATAATCAGTACTATTTGATCCAGCCAATCAAGTCTCGGACTTCCCAAACAAGTTTGCTGACATGCCACGCTTTTATTTTTTATTTATATATTTTTGTCTTTTTGATCAACCCCTCTCGGAAGTTTACTTTTTTCCTTTGATTTTTTTGGTAGACAACCCCTCTTGGAAGTTTAGCTTTAGGATTACTTTATAACACTTGGAATCTTCCCACTTCATAAAATCTGTCAGAGGCAGTTACACGTCCTTTTCCCACATTGAATTACAAGTCCAAAAGCATTCGATATGAAATGATACGCTCGTTTTTATAATTTGCACCCTGCATTTGTTTTTGGGATTTGGATCTTCTCCTTAGCCAATGGAAATGATCTTTCTGATCAAGTATCGTAGACCGTTAGATTTTTATTTAATGGTTACAAACAGAAGGGTTCCTTTAAAATTATAATAATTATAACTGTTGGATGAAAATACAACGATTCACAATACTTGATCAGGAGGATCCTCTTCATTAGCTAAGGAGAGGATCCAGATCCTTGTTTTTGTTTGTTAATTTTCTTTAACTTTTTCAACATAACGATAACAAATAAGTATGAATTGTGCTTGTGGTAAAAAATGATGGGTTGAAGTAACTCGTAATAATACTTGACTTTTGTAATAGAGAGTGACTTTTACGCATCATTTTCATCTTTTGCACTCTTCACTTCGATATTTTATTCTATTTAATTTGTTCAAGTTAACCGAGATCATCATCTTATGTTCTAAGGGAGAAGGAGATCGCGTAATATTCGAAGTTTGAAGAGAGTACTCAGGAAGATTAAGCTCAAGTTGATCATCCATGGTTTTCAATTCTTTAAAACTGCATTCATGTGTATACTCCTAGTCCCCTAACCAAATTATTAACTCTAGGCTTCACTAAAACAAATAGTTCACTCAAAAAGGGCCAAAACCTTTACATTTCATGACTCTTCTAAACACGCAAAAAGGAGCCAAAATACTCATCCTCGATACATAACCGTATGATCTCCTAAAGTATATCATATGCAAGTCACGTGATTTAAATTGATAGAATTTGAATAAAATAACTTTGAATCTTATAATAGAGATGAAATTTACAATTTTTAATAAATTTTAAAAGACTTAATTTTTACTCGGATATTAATTGATGACCAAATTGGCAGCGTGCTCTATTTTTAAACCTGCAATTGAGACAAGAAGTTTAAGAGCAACACATGTGAAAGTATAAAACCACGTACTTTGGCTGTGGAATAGTCCTTTCAATTTCCTCACCTTTCAAGATTCCATTTGCAATTGGCATTGCCGCGTTAGGTGATTTTCATCTCTGATCCATCTACCATCAGATAGAAACTTTGGAAAGTACTGCTCTACTCTAAGCCATCTCAATATCAAATCGAATAAGATCACGATACCACATATTTTGTGAGGGAAAATGTGAAGGAAACTAAGAGCCAGTTTGGTATCATATTTGAAATTTTTTATCATTTCTCCAAATATTTTTTTAAAACAACTTTCTTTAGAACTCAAAAATTTGATTGGTTTGCGACTTAAAATTTTTAAATCTTACGACTTAAACTAGACAAAGAAATCTAAAAAGAGGGGGTCACATGAGAGGGAGAAAGATGAGAGATGAGGAAAGAAAGTAAGAGATGATTGAAGAAAAAAGAAAAAAGAGAGAGGATTGGACGAGATAGAGAGGAAGAGAAGTGAGAGAAATAACCGAGAAAATGAAGAAAGCGGATTAAAGGAGAGACGAAAAAGGTAAAAAAAAAAAGGAGAGAGAGAAGAAAAAAGAGAGAGAGATTTGGAGTGAGAGGGAGGAGGGAGAAAAAAGAAATGAGAGAGTTGAAGTTTAAAAACTCTAAAAACTCACTTTTTATGTTTTTAGAGAATATACTATATTTTTTAGTTAGTCTTAAGTTCAGTTTTTGAAAATAGTCCTACCAAAACAAGTTTTTAAGGCTTAAAACTTGAAAATTATTTTTGAGTTTAAAAAGTTGGATTCAAGTAGAGTACCAAATAGATCCTAAATTTTTAGACCATTTTTTATAGACTGCATGATGTGACGATTAATGATTGAGCTCTTATTTTAATGAGTTAAAGAAGTCCAACCATCAATTACCACATTATATAATTTACAAAAGATAATCTAAAAATTTCATCTCTCTAACATCATTCATAAAACATCATTCATTTATGAAAGACATATAACGCGATGTCATAGTTGATGTGGGTGGAGGAATCCCTTTGGTTCCTCCCTCTTTATAAAAAAATATATATTTCAGAATTTTGTTATTGGAGAATGGAGATATCCAATAGGGCTTTAAGACTTCCCTCACACGTCTCAACTACTTCCTCACCATGTTGTCTCAAGTACCTCTTCTCCAAAATCATGACCTATCTTTATCTCAAGTTACATAATTATCACTCAATCTTACCATATTTTTCGACCAACAAACTTTTTCGTAACTAGCCCGTCTAATTTTACAGCCTCAAGGTCCTTCTCTAGTAGTAACTTTCATAAAAGAATAAGTGTTGAACTCTTTATAAATTCTCTAATTTTATTGTGTATACATGTGTAATACATAATAAACTCACACAACAAACATAATTGAAATTGAAAATGTGCATCTATAACTATTTGTTAAAAGTTGAAAATTTTCGTCGCCAGAAAAATATATACGGTATATATAATATACCCCACCGACGCGGTGGCTGGGGACTCATTATGGCACTTACGTTGGGGGGCTTGTGAGTCATATTTAATGTGACAAAAATGTAAATATTCATATGCTTATAAATATCTTGGCCCACAAATTGTGGCGTAATCTTTTTAAGTATCAATTTTGACTGGTAATGCAGGTCTCCTTCAAACCATTTTTGACCAAGCAAAGTTTTTGAGGATGGTTGTGGGCTTTAAAGTTATGTAATACATTTTGCATGTTCCGTTTAAATTGTACATAACACAGCCTTGAACAGCGTTGGGGTGGTGGCGCAGTTGGCTAGCGCGTAGGTCTCATAGCTTCTGAGTGATCCTGAGGTCGAGAGTTCGAGCCTCTCTCACCCCATTCTTTTTTATCTTTTGCTATTATAGGAAAACAAAAACATTTTAACTTCCAACTTCTAACAACACGAACATGGTCCAGTAGTATTTATCTTTCACAATTTTAAATGATATCCCAAGAGTTTGAATTTCCATATGATTTCTTTAACATCTCAACTTCTAACACTACCATGGTCTAACCGTATTTCTCTTTTACAATTTCAAGAAAATATCCTAAGAGTTCGAATCCCCGCTACCAAATGATTAAACAAAAAACAATATACCGTACCGAGATTCCAGTACCAGCCATACATCATTACATCTGGTACGTAGAAACAGAAACATGTCAAACTCCATAGGCTAGACCTGTAAACGGGTCGGGTTTATTGGGTTTGGATCGGGTTCAACCCGACCCGTTAAGTTAACGGGTCACCCGAACCCGACCCGTTAACCCCCGTTAACAATTTTTTTTTTTTTTTTGCATAAAGTTTATTTTTTGTTATTAAGACTTTACTAAAATTACTAAAATATCCTCAACTAACGGGTCCTAACGGGTCTAACAGGTTGACCCAAAGTGACCCGTTATTTAACGGGTTGTTAACGGGTTCACCCGTAGCGACCCAATCCATTAAACATCCACCCAAATACAAATATTAACGGGTTGGGTCGGGTCGGGTTAACGGGTTGGGTCCAAAATGCCAGGCCTACCATAGGCTATGCCAAATGTAAACATTTCATCACTGCAAAACATGGCTGGTACTCCCACATTTTATAGCAGCAATAAGCAACCACTAAGTCTGGCATTACTCATTGTGTGACGCTCATCTAGCACCACTGCCCATATAAAACTACTTCCCAAGCAAAAACAAAGAACAATATCGCACCTAGAACCGTGTTGAAAAGGTATACTGATGGGGGACTTGTTAATGGGGGGAAAGTTTCCCAGGAAATGAAAGAACAGCTCATCCAATTGCCGGCGGTGGTTGCATTGTGTGTCTGCTTCAAACCCTTTTCTGTATTATTGCCTTGAACCGCCTCTGCGTCTTTGTTAGATTCTGTTATAAAGTTCCTCTTCGGGGGAAAATCAACAGCAGCTCGACGCTCTGCAGCTACTTTGGCCTGCAAAAATAAACCAGATTAAGTTGTGGAAATAGCCTCTCCAAAGAAACATTATTCATGTTCTCCGTGCTGCAGTTTGGGTTCTCTCACTCACCTTGCTTTGCTGCTGTTCTAATTCATTAGGTTTGCCTGGTGCTAAGAGGGCACTTGTTGAATATGTTCTTCTCTCATTGTTATAGTATTCGTCGGAGGCTAACTGAATAGAGTTAATCTGAAGGCTATCTGCATCTACATCCACAGAGGAAGCACTCTTTTTAATGGGTCTTGATGCACCAGAATCTTCATCACTGACTGATTGAAGACGATCAGTCTGAGGTTTAGGTAATACATTGGTAGAGGAAGCAGCCTGTATTAAGATCCGGTTACGAAGCGTAACACCTTTCCCGCCCCGGGACTGGCCCTAAAAAATAATAATAATCAGAAAACATGAGCAAGTTTCCAAAGCTTCCAGTACCAAAAAGTTAAGCGAAGTTTTAGCAGAACGCTTTTTTACCTCTTCAAGTTCAACTGCATGTTGTACTTCTGTGGCTGAGCCACTGCTTACTCCACAATCCTTTAAATACACCTTCCTAGGTGACTGTGGCAGAGTGGAGTTATTTAAGACGTTAGCGTGAGTTATTTGTTCACTGAAAGCCTCATACGGGTCAACAATAACTGTATTTACGAACTCTTCTGAATCTCCATCCGATTCATTAGCTCCAGGTGCAGATTGCGTTCCATGGTAATCATTATTATCATGCGCATTTGCAAGCATACTGCCCATATGCCTCTGAAAAATGTCCGGATTTGGTGGTGGCTGAGTACGTTCCTGCATAATGAACAACAAGCAAGCGAAGGTTTTGGATCTGTTTCTTTTGCTCCGAGTATATATATATATATGAAGAAGTTTTAATCACCATTCGTGCTCGACATTCTCACCTCTTCAACATGCATATTATGTGCTGGTTGCAGTTGATTTTCAAAGTCATGTGCATTGTTGTAATTACTAGATTCACCTTCATCACAGGTTGAAACATCCGTATTCTTACCTGATTTCTTCTTTACGTGACAGAGAACGAAATCCCTCTGCAAATAAGTTGGAAAACCAATTATGTAATGAAGTATCACCAACAGAAAATTAAACAAGGTTCCAACCAAAAGTCACTGAACTTTGCACATTTACAGAACAAGCCAATTGGCTTGAAGGGGTTTCGATTTTGATCCATTCAATGATTTCAAAACCAAAACCTCTTCGAACCAAACCAAATAGACTTGAGTTTCACAACGAAAACCCCTCAAGCCTCCGGTATAGAACTTGCCTCATACAATGCTGCAAATTGTACATCATATATCCCTAACATTATTAACAAAGACCCGATAACAGAAAGAGAAGGATGACCCGATTGGCATTAGGACTGACTTGAGGGATGTAAAACTCATGCATGACCCAGGGGGTAATTTGGGCTTGACGAGGGCGACCTCGGTAAAATGTCAGAATCCTCTTTTTACCGATAGTTTTGTTGTCTCGAGCCGTGACTATTTTATCCCGGCCAGTGATCTTCCAGAAGCCTGTGCTTGTCGCCCTTTCGATGTCGTGTCTGCTGTTATTTTTGTAAATTGGTCGGTTGTAGAAGTACCATTCCTCATCATCCGACTTTATCAATGACTTAGCTGCATAAAAACACAACATTTGGATCAAACCAACACATATTTTTACACTCATTCAAATGCAAACTAAAAAGTATCAGTAAAAAGGTAGCGATTTTCGCACCCCATCTTCAGCTATTTCCACTTAAAAAATGAACATTTTACAATTTTTCGAACTCGCAGAAGAGTGTTAAGCGCTAAAATCTCTTACCTTCGTAAAATTGTCACTCAAGAAAAAACAATAGTAACTTTAAGAACTGGGATTGGTAATAAGTTACGTTTGGATCAAACCCAATTGCCTAAACAGAGATTCAAACTGTAGGGGGTGTATTCAATTGGGATTTTGAGGGATTTTAATTTTCTTAATGAATCTAATCAAGATTTTAGGTGATTCTCAGAAATTTAATGGGTATTCAATTAGGATTTTAAGATAGTTTATTAAAATCATTAGAAATCCGGTGTATTCAATTAGAATTTTAAAAAAGTTTATAACATTTCAGGTGTATTCAATTAGAATTAGAATTTAAAGAATTTGGAAAAATTGAGGAATTTGAAGGAATTTGAGAGATTTTGTAGTGTATTTTAAGCATCCACAAATCTCACATTTCCCCATGAGATTTTGAGGGAATTGAATCAAAATTTTACATGGAATCCCTACAAATCAATTAAACTCCATAAAAATCCATGGATTTATAAATCCATTAAAATCTCTCAAATTCTCAATTGAATACATCCCTTAGTAATAAGTTACACATTACTAAAGTTGTCACCAAAAATAAAATAAAAAATTGAATTTTTTAAGAACTGGGTTTGGTAATAAGTTACGTAAGGATTAAACCCAAATACCCAATGGCAAATACAGATTATACAGATTATCCGACTCTTTGAAACAAGAAAAATAATGAAAATTTAAGACCTGGGGTTTTGCAAATAATTACCAGGCAAGTCCCAGGGCTCGTGTTTGCAGATATTGATTTCACGGATGACGTCGCTGACGAGGGAATCCTCTCCCCGGAGCTTCAACTGCAAGTAATGGCCGATCAGCTCTTCTTCTGTGGGGTGGAATCGGAATCCCACTGGCAGTAATATGCCTCTTGCGGTTGCTCTGGTGAAGGGGATTCCATTGGAAGCCATCCTCCTTCATGTAGGACAAATGGAATGCTGGGTGGGTTATTTTAGGATTAAGAAAAACAAGAGAAACAGTAATTGACTTGAGGTCGATCAAAGTCTTTCTCTTTCAGTGGACATTTTTTGCTTATGGAAGAAGCTATTAAACTTCTGCTTGGTTGTACATGGTGGGCTCTGGAATTTTTGTTGTCGTGATTTTTGGTGGGACCCCGGGCAATCCTACGTGTGGAACTGCTTGCTGTATGGCTGCGTGGGTGTGCTTCTTCGGAAAGAGCAGAGAAGCTACAGGGATCATGAGAAGATTTTGTATCCCATTTTTTCCAAATAGAAGATTAAATGAGGGTAGGTTGTGAGACTGAAATTTCTGATTCAATTGCTTATTTTGCTGTTTTGAAAACAGAGGGCATATAAGAAGTAGACGAATTTCGTCATCGTGTAGGATAAACAGTCGATAAGGTAGATCGAGAAAATCTAATTAAAAAAGTCGGTAGCATTTTCATGGAGTTTCAATCAAAATATGTCTTCATATATTGTCACTTCTCAAATTTATTTATATAAGATTTTGTGCCCGTTTGATAAATAAATATTAGATATATCACTTTAGAGAATATTTTTTAGAGAGCTTTAACGAAAAATCCATGGTACTGTTCACTTTAACGAAAAACCACATGTTTACACTAAAAAGTCAAACCTGGTACTATTCACTTTACCCTTTATTTTGTCATTATCATTAAAACTTAAAGTTTTCAATCATTTTTCATTAGTTTTCCTTATTTTTTAGGGAACTTTAACAAAAAGCTCCCGGTACTGTTCACTTTAACGAAAAACCACATTTTAACACTAAAAAGTCAATCCTGGTACTATTTATTTTACCCTTTATTTTGTCCTTATCTTTAAAACTCAAAGTTTTCAAACCCTTTTCATTAGTTTTCCTTATTTTTTTAAGGTATATGTTGTTGGAAATTCTTTGGTTGTAACATGAGATTCATCTCAATATATTTGTCTCACTAATTACTCAATTCACTTTAGTGTGGTTACTCTTACTCGCAATAATCTTTCTAATAGTTTAGCTTGATTTAGTTTATAGATCCCAAAACAAATTGCGAGTCTCAAGAAGTTCTTCCAAGCCCGTAGTAAAGGATACAATTTTCAATGTGTTCAAAATTAGACTTGGCAATTTCTTACACTTGTTAACACGACACGTAAATGACACAAAAATAAAAGGTTTCGAATCAACACGATAACTAGTCAGGTCGTTAGCAGGTTACACGATAAGAACCTGTTAATAACAGGTCATTAACAGGTTTACACGAGGGTGACACGCGGGTAATCCGTTTCAACAAGTTAAAAAAATATATATATTTTGATGATTTTAATTTTTTTTAAAACTACTAAATAAATTTACTATAAAATATAATAGTCATAGTGTGTATGCATATATTGTATATTAAATATGTATTATAGTAATTATTATTCTACATAAACCGAAAAAAATAAAGTTTTATTTATTTATATATTTTAAAAGTATACTATAGGCAAAGAGTGAGATTAAAAAAATTAGAAAACTCATTAAAAATAAAAATATGAAGTAATTTAAAAATACCAAACACATTAAAATTGTAATAATTAATTTACAAGTGCGAAAAATGTGAAGAAATATGCAAACACTTGTTATCGCATCCTATACGGTTTGGGATGGGTACATTGTCGTTTGAATTTTTAAAACCATACAAACCCTCATGAAACACAACTCCCTTCATTTTGCATATCCTTGAACATTTGGTAATTTGTAGTAATGTACTAATGCTTTTTCATTTGGTTCTTATTTTGAGGTATCTAATACTTGAAAGGTAAATGTTTTTTTTTATATTTTGAAGTAATATTTATGTGACAATGCGGTATGCATATACTGATTTAGTATTATGTTTTTTATTTTTTTTGGGTCAAATTATGTTTTTTTTTCTTCATTATTTATGGATTTAAAATATATTTTCTTTAACGAGTAACAGGTCGGGTCATATTACCTGATTATATTAATGGGTCGATATGAGGTCAGGTCATATTACCCATATACTTTAATGGATGTTACATGACACGACCTATTAAGATATTGGATATGTTAGAAAAACAACATGAATACGAAAATTATGACACAAATATCATGTCTATTCAAAATACGTAGTAGAATATCACATGTCATTATACTATCAAGTAGACACTTGAAATGGATTTTGTCTAATCTAAAGACATAAAATGAGGGGTAAATGTCAGTTTACTACTCTCAAGTTTCGTGGTATTCAACATTTGGTACATGAAGTTTTTTTCGCCCCAGAGTCATACCTAAAGGGTTAATTTTAGGACAGTCTCATACATCTGTTAGTCTAGTTGTTAAGTCTCCCGTTAAATGATAATGTGGCGCCCATATGAACAATGTCTAGGCGCCACGTGTCTTTAAGGATCCACGTGGAAATTAAAAATTAAAAAAAACAAAAAACAAAAATTTCAAAAAAACCAAAAGTTTTCATCTTCGAGAGCAAACACACATCTCTCCCTAGACATCTAGCACTCGAAGCTTCTCCAATCTCAAATCCATGGAGGCTGCTTTTTCATCAAACCCTAACCCTCATCCTCTAATCGAATCCCTAGATCCTCATCCCCCTCCTTCTGAAACCCTACCCTTCTACTATGAAATCCTTTTCTTGGATTTCACTATTATAATATACGTCTCTGTAGTATTAGGATTTTATATTATTTTTCGAGAATTTATTTTTAATTTGTTTAAATTTAGATTTTTATTAAATTGGTTACGAAAAGTAAAGTTTGGAAATTAATTATTTAAAATTCGTAGACCTTTTGAGGTCACAATTTATATTTTCGAATAGAGCTCGATTTTACGAACGCGTGAGTGCAAATGGAAAGTAATTTGGAGTTATAACGAAAGAGTTATTAACATTTAATGTTATGGATATTTTTGTATTTTTGACCTTGCTAGAAGATTCCAGATTTTCTGGAACCATTAGATGGAGCCACGTGTGTGGCTGGGATCGAAAAGGAAGAAGAGAAGGGAGAGAGATGTACGGTTAGGATAAAAAGAAAATGAGAGAAAGGAAGGAGGATGGGAAGTCAGCCAATAAGGAGAGGGGAGAGGAGAAAAGTGGACGAATGGGAAAGGGAAGAAATGAGGGGGAGGGAGAGAATAGAAAGGCACGGGATCACGGATTCCTGCCCAGTTCGTGCAACCCGACCCAACGGGGCTTGCAAACCTAACGCCATTCAATTGAGGCAAATCACCACCTAGGAACGACTCCCTAGCCTTCCCCTTTCCATTTCCACCCAAAATTAGAAGGAATTTTGTGCTAGTTTTGGAAAAAAAAACTAAAGGTAGAGCTTATGGGTGTACGGCGGCGATCCACAAATCGTGAAGCTAACTTAACCCATTTCCACCACCAATAGGCTCCCCTCACTGAGATCTACTTTTCTGTGAAATTTGGTAATTTTTTGAAATAGTTGAATTTTCTGGCAAGTTGGGGTGGCCGACTGCCAACCGCAGCGGCGTGTGCGGCGGAGCGCGGCCAGTGGACTGAAAATGTCTTTCTAAGTAATATTAGATGCCCTAAGTCCATGTTTGACACCCGTAGTAAGTGATTTGATTATTTGAATCTAGTTTTATTATGATACATTACTTGATCAAAAATTTGAATCGACGATCCGACCGTTGGATCGTCACCAAACTTTAATGCATTATAGAACATAATATTTGAGGATAGCTAGAACTGACGGATCATGAATCCGATGTACGGATCTTCCCAAACTGGATTTCTAAGTTAGAAAAATTAATTGTTAACCGGCACCTAATTCAGGCAATTGGCAGAGATCCGACCATCGGATTGCCATGAGATTTTAGTAGGTTGTTCTAGAAGCATAATGTGGACTTTGGAAAGTTATGGATCAAAATTTGATAGGTGGATCTTCCGGTTTAGATTTCTAGGGTTATGGGCCCTACTCTCGACCTTGAGTAACGGTTGGCTTTGTAGTCAACTAGCTGAGTTCTTCTAGTGTGTCGGTTATCTTAAAGTGCAGATGAGATTTCATGGAGCTTGATGGACTCATTGTGATGACGTGTCTTCTTGGTTGACGGTGACTCAATTTGCGTACTAGTTGCATCGTATTATATTATACTTGTTTATTAAGTATGTTTTGATTTGTGCATTAAAAACGTTTGTGAAATATGGTTTGATTTGTATGATGAGTTGAAGGATGATTTGTGAAAAACATGTTCATTTAAGCAACATCTATAAGCATGCAATTAACAATTAAAGGCGGAATCATGCTTGCATGCACTTAAAAATAAAACATTAACCATGAAATTCAAAGCCTAGTAGATTGGTGAACCAAGACTCAACTCAAATCAAAGTGAGTTGAGAAATATACCTTTGTAGATTCCTCTTTGCATAAGCAAAGGCTAATCACCCAAAGAGAGGGCCTTCATTCCTTGCATCTAAAATCTATGGATTTGGATGGATGAAAAGGTTTCTCCAAGTTCCCAAAATTGAGAACCTCTAAGTATCTTCACCAAGGTTAGATTGGAGAAGAAATGAGTGACCTTGGAGTAGTTAGTATGGCTAGATACACCCTCCAAGGGGCCGGCCTCTTTAGAGAGAAAAGGAGAGACAAGTTCTCACCAATTTTCTCCAAAAGAAACCCTAAATGAATTTTGGCTATAAAGTCATATTTATACCTTAATTCATTGGAGTGGCAAACTTGTAAATAAGTCCAAAACCCACTCCATCTCTAATATGGCCGGCCATTGGGATATTTTTGGACTAATTGGGCCTTTGTGAATCATTATTCATTAAGTTGTCATACAACTTAAGTTAATGGACTTGACATTCAAAGCCCATTGGGCCTTAAGGTCCAAAACTATCCCGAGGTCTTTAACGAACTTATTTGTTTGATTAATTAACATATTAATTAATCCTTGCCATATATAATTAAACCATTTAATTATTCTTACTCATTTCCATTGTTTCTTCAATCTCCACCTTACACGGTGTACGATCCATTAGGTTCTTTTTAGCGAGGCAGTGGGCGATTAAAACCATTTCAAATCGATTGTGAATTTGAAACTTACTTTCAATTCTCCCTTTAGTGATTATACACGTTTAGGGCTTCCACAAACCATGAGTGACACCTAGCAGCATATCATGGTTACCCAAGCTAATCAGAAGAAGTGGAGAACCTATTCAGTTTAGGACTACAAATGCAATACGGTCTTTCTCTAATACAATACTCTTGACCACATTGTTTGGTTTG